ACCTAAATCAGAAGGGCCATCCACGCAGCGCAACGCCAGCAGGAACGCTGGGGCAGCTCGTGATGCTCCCCCAACGCAGTGCAGTGCCAGGTGGAGCTTTGGGGTGATGCTCGTGATGCTTGCCGGAGAAGCGGCCTGAACCAACACAAGCTGCATCACTGGGGCGGCTGATGCTCGTTCTGCTTGCCGCAGTGGTGACCGTACCAACGGACGCTGGATCGCTGGGGCGGCTGATGCCCTCGTTCTGCTCGCCAGAACCGGTTTTGTTTCCAATATTTACCAGCTACATCTCTGTGGCCTGCCCTGCCCTGACCTGCCCTAGCTGATGCTCGTGATGCTTGCCGTAGCGGTGATCTTACCTGGCTGATGCTCGTGATGCTTGCCGGAACGGTGGTCTCACCAATACCAGCTGCATCGCTGAGGCAGCTGATGCTCGTGATGCTTGCCGGAACGATGGTCTCACCAATACCAGCTGCATCGCTGATGCTTGTGATGCTTGCCGGAACGCGGCCTCATCAGTCGAAGCTGCATTGCTAGGGCTGCTGATGCTCGGGATGCTTGGCTGAACGGCGGCCTTACAATGCCAGCTGCATTGCTGGGGCGGCTGATGCTGGGGCGGCTGATGCTCGGGATGCCTGCCGGAACGGCGGCCTTACCCTGGATCGCTGGGGCAGCTGATGCTCGCGGAAACACAAGCTGCATCGCGGCGGCTGATGCTCGTGATGCTTCCCGGAACGGTGGTGTTACCAATGCCAGATGCATCGCTGGGGCGGCTGCTACTCGGGAACGGTGCTCTTACCAATCGAAGCTGGGGCGGCTAATGCTGGTGATGCTTGCCCGAACGGCACACCTGACGCGCGTGATGCTTGCCGGAACTCTGGGGCAGCTGATGCTCATGATGCTTGCCGGAACCGCGGCCTTATCGATCGAGGCTGCATTGCTAGGGCTGCTGATGCTCGGGATGCCGGCCGGAACGGCGGCCTTACAGGCGCCAGCTGCATCGCAGGGGCGGCTGATGCTCGTCATGTGTGGCGGAGCGGTGGCCTTACCTATGCCTATGCAAGCTGGTCTGCTCGCCAGGCCCGGTTTTTGCTTCCAATACTTACCAGCTACATCTCTGCGGCAAATGATGCTCGTGATGCTTGCCGCAACGGTGATCTTACCAACGGACGCTGGATCGTTGGTGTGGCTGATGCTCGTGATGCTTGCCGGAACGGTGGTCTCACCCATACCAGCTGCATCGCTGAGGCGGCTGATGCTCGTGGTGCTTGCCGCAGTGGTGACCTCATCAATGGAAGCTGGATAGCCAGGGCGGCTTATGCTCGTGATGCTTGCCGGAGCAGTTGGCTTTCCCATACCGGCTGCATCGCTGGCTGGGGCAGCTGATGCTCGTGATTCTCGCCGAAGCAGCGGCATTAGCAACACCAGCTGCATTGCTAGGGCGTCTGACGCTCGTGAAGCTTGCCGGACCAGCGGCCTTACCAGCGCAAGCTGCATCGTAGGGGCGGCTGATGCTCGCGATGCTTGCCGAACGGCGGCCTTATCAGCGCAAGCTGGTTTGCTAGGGTGGCCAATGCTCGTGATGCTAGCCGGAGCGATGGTCTGTCCAATATCAGCACATTGCTGGGGCGCCTGATGCCCGTAATATCTCGTAATGCTTGCCGGAGTGGAATGCAAGCTGCATCGCTGGGGCGGCTGATGGACGTGATGCTTGCCGAGGGTTGGCCTTAATTACCAATGCAAGCTGGCGCTCTTACACACAAGTCCGTGTCCTTCGGCTACAAAGGCTGTGGCAATTTTTTCTCGTTTCGGATTTCACGTGTAGTCCGACATTCAAGCCCGCAGTCTCAGACGAAGCTCTCAAATTTAGATTGCGCAGCTTGTTCTTAAAGCTTGAACACCTGAAGTCTGGAATTCTTTCGCGCTCCTTTATCTATATGACGACACCAAACCCCAAGGCCCAAGATGTACAAAACGACCTGGCGAAGCGCATGAAAAGTCCAGGCTCTCGTGGGATTAGGCATGCCGTCAAACTTGACGATTCCAGGCATCTGTCGCGGTAGGATTTCGGAGCATTGCAAGTGTAATGCGTATCAACAACCACTAAAACACATACGGAACGGGTTGTCACCTCAGACCCAATTGTAATGTCCGAAACTTAAAAGCAGAGCAAGTCGAAACCCAACAACCCTTTAACTCGACTGGGCACGCCGCCAGGGTAACGCCGTCCTCCCGTCGGTAGCCAAGAGCGAGCTCCCTGTGCTCATGATTTCAGGCTGGGTTGTTTTGGGGTTTCGGATCGTTCCGTCAGTGTTTCGAGCCCTAAACCCTAAACCCATTTCTGCTTTGGGCAGTTGCTTATGACTGGGAGTACACTCGGGTTGAGGATGGCTTAGGGCCAGGGGGTTTGGAGATACTGGCCTTATTTGGGATTGGGGTTCAAAGCCATGAGTAAAGATTACAATCCTTGGAGCCTACAACCCCCATACCTTGAAGCTGCAACCCCAAACTCTGAGTTGGGGTTTAGGGGGCCCTCGACAAACTGAGTGTGCTTGGAGTCTCGGTGGGACAGTTTGTGCTCAAGGATGATGGCATGCGTGCTTCTCAATCAATGCGATGGAGGGGTGGATGAAACTGGCTAGACTTGAGCCGAGTGGGGAAAAGGGCCCTTGACAAATCAAGCTGCCAGCGCAACATTGCCACAGGCTGGATGTGCGTAACAAGTGCGTCTGCCTGTGCAGCTTTCTCGGCAATGGCCGGCCGCTTGCTATGCACAGGCAGTGCGACGTGATGGGTTGTCTGTAGTTACCTTCAGTATTCAATGTTCAGCGGCACTATAGGTTCTATAAGCAACCCTAAACCGTACGGCGTCTATCAGTACTTCAAAACTGTATTCACCGCACTGGGGCTCAAGGCTCGTCGCAGGGTTTGGTGCACTTCCCGTTGCCGTCAACATCAACATTGGATGCCCAAAATTGTTGAGATTAAGTTAACATAAATGTCTATTAGAAGATATTACCCGCATCGTTATTCATGAGTATTATCCTAAACCCTAAACCTGCATGTTATATGTCATAGTTATGTTTAGCAAGGTCATCTGGTCCCAAGGTTCGACCGAATGCTTCCGCAAGGAACCCCACTCCAACAGCACAGGAGAGACCGCCGAACACCCAATCAAATCTCCTTGGAAGCCAATTCAAAATTAGAAAAATCTTCAGAAGAGCTGCTCTGTGTTATTCTGGTTGAATCGAATACCCTGAGCATTTTATCATTATTCGTGGTTAAAATACGAAGAGTTCTAGAATCGGGAGAATCCGAGACCTATGTATACATGTAAAAAACTGAAATATACATATGTACATACAAGCTTTACATCGGCGCAATGCGTTCAAGCATATATGGACGGTGTGGTTTGGTGAAGGGATGTGAAGAGTTGGGTAGCCTGAAGCTGGAGCACGTGCAAAGACTGTATAGCCAGCCGGCTGTTTGTAGTTCTGCAAGCTTTCAGAGCCCTGATCCGTGTAGAAATGCCTGCAACCGTGTGACACTCCATAGCAAGAATCACGAAACCCCTAGCCGAAAGCCCTTCTAATGTAGGGGCTTAGATTTCATAATTACCTATACTACAGGGGTTTCGGGTTTCAGGGTTTACTCAGAGCTCGTTCAAAAGAGGGGTAACCTTAAACCTGCAGCTTAGTCGTTGTGACTGCTGGACTACTGGAAGCCGTGCCTGCTTGTGCGAGCGTGCAAGTCGAAACTTTCAACCTTAATCAAGAGTCTGAGGCAAAAGTTGGCGGCTCCTTATCGGGCCATGGTTACCTGGCTTCGGGATGCAGTATGATGCAGTGCTCATGGCCTAATAATTACCAACACTATTTTTAGGGGTTCCTCATTGTTGTTATAGTACAATATACCCCCAAACCCTATTCTAATTGTGGGGATGTAACTACAGTACAATATACCCCCAAACCCTATTCTAATTGTTAAGGCCCCTATATTACGGCCTTCGGGGATTAGCATTTCAGGGTGTTGGGTTGGATTACGGTCACAGAGCCTGGGACCTGAAGCTAAGGGTTTAAAGTTTAACGTTTAGGATTTAAGGTTTAGGATTTAGGGTGTAGGGTTTAGGGGTTCAGGGTGTCGGGTTTAGGGTTTCAGGAGTGTTTTGGTTTTCCGTAGCCGTAGCCTCAAGGATGCTCCGTTTTGGATGCTTCTGTTTTTCGAGGTCCCAGATCTCTTAAACCCAGTTTCACGAATCGTAAACCTTTCCATCCAGAACTCCAAACCCCAAGCCCTGAAACCACTCTGTGTGATGCTGCGCGTTTCTGCCCCGCTTCAGAGCCTGATTCGGCATCCTCAACGACATCGTAGCTCGTTGAATCCAGGGTGTAGGGTAGTTTAGACGTTAAGTTCCGCTTAGGGTTTACGGCTTTCGGTTGCCCAAGTCCTGATGGGCTGTAGCAAGCCATGCCGACGAGGAACCACGCAGGCGTGCAGCAGGTGCGGTACTGCCCCTTGGTCCAAGTTTATGGTTTAAGGGTTTGGGGTTGGTCGGGTTATGAGTAAGGCTCTAGGTTTTGATTTCAATTTTTGACTTTCATTAATAACCCTGAACTAAGCCTCTTTCAGGGCTCACGGTGGTTTCGGACATCGCCTAGTTGGTCACAACTAACGACTTGAGAATTCGAGGCCTGGCATGTCATCATCGCTTCGTTGCGGCGAAACTTCAACATGACGAGCGATGCCTTTGTCGCTGCTGTTGGTAGCAACTACTATTACAGGCGGTTTCGTGATAGACCCTATTTTACCATGGGTGAAATGGTCATGAATTATGATTTAGGGGGACCCC